ATAAGATGAAATTACGGCATACTTGTATGCTATTCTTAGTTAATAAAGGCAGGATCGCCAAAAAAAAAAAAAAAAAATGCAAATCAAATATTGATGTACTAAGATAATCCAGTATACAATTAATTGTATGCTATATATGAGTATACTCAAACTTTTTTTTTAATTTATAATTCATACAATCATACATGTGAAATACAATTCAAGATAAACATTAATAATTAAATTTATTTATAATGCTATTTTACAACAAATTCATATGCAAAACTATTTATCATCGGATTATAAACTATATTAAGTTATATTTATTAAAAATATATTATTTGCTAGAAAATTTTAATAAATAAAAAAAAAATAACAATATACTAATATTTTGGTAATAAATAATTTTTTTTTTAATATAATAAATAACAAATCTAATGTCAGCAAATAAATAATCAAAAAACATCTCAAAATCCGGTAAAGAAAAGTATCAGAGAAAAGCTCCAAATTCGATAAAGAACTTAATAGAATTTATTAGAATTTGACATAAATTAAAATAGGCTTCTTAGTAGAGAATTACCAGAGAATAACTCCAAACTTAGCAAAAAAAGTTACTAGAGAACAGCTCCAAAATTTTTAAGGAATCTACCAAGGAACAGCTCCAAAATTGGCGAAAAATTACTATAGAAAGCTCCAAACCCGGTAAAAAAAATCACCAACAGCTCAAAGTCTGACGAAAAAATTATCGGAAAACAGTTTCAAGAAACTAATAGAAATTTATTAGAAACAGAAACAAATTAGAGTAGGCTTCTTAATAGAAATTTATTAGAAACTAAAATAAATTAGAGTAGGTTTCTTAGTAGAAAACTACTAGAGAATAGCTCCCAACCCAACAAAAAAAATTACCAGAAGAAAATTATCAGAGAAAATCTTCAAAATTTCTAAGAAACCTACCAGGAAACATCTCCAAACTCGGTGAAGAAATTACCTGAGAAAGCTCCAAACCCGGCGAAAAAATTACTAGAGAACAGCTTAAAAGTACGGCAGAGAAAATTATCAGAGAAAATCTCCAAGAAACTAATAAAAATTTATTAGAAGCTGAAATAAATCTACCAGAGAAAGCACCAACCCAGCAAAAAAAATCTGATAAAGAAAATTATCGGAGAACAGTTCCAAACTAGTGAAGAAACTAATAGAAATTCTTAGTAAAACCCTACCAGAGAACAGCTCCAATTCTGGCGAAGAAATTACCAGAGAACAGCTCTGAAACCGGTAAAAAAAATTACTAGAGAACAGCTCCAAATCTGGCGAAGAAAATTATACAAACCTAGCGAAAAAATAATAGAAATTTATTATAAGCTAAGATAAATTAGAGTAGGTTTCTTAGGAGAAATTACCAAAGAACAGCTCCAAACCCGGTGAAGAAAGTTGTCAGAGAACAAATTCAAAATTTCCAAGAAACCTACCAGAGAACAGTTCCAAATCTGGAGAAGAAGTTGCTAGAGAAAGCCCCAATCCCGATGAAGAAACCAGAAACTAAGCTGAATTAGGGTAGGTTTCGTGGTAGAAAACTACTAGAGAATAGCTCCAAATCTGGCAAAGAAAATTACCAGAAAACAGCTTCAAAATTTCCAAGAAACCTACCAGAAAAGAACTTCAAACCCGGCGAAGAAAATTATGAAAGAAAAACTCCAAATCTGGAGAAGAAATTACAAGGGAAAATCTCCAAACCTGGCAAAGAAACTAGAAAGCTGAAGCTGAATTATATTAGAGTGAAGAAAATTACCAGAAAACATTCTAAAAAACCTACTCCTTACCCACGAAGAAAATTATTAGAGAACAACTCCAAACCTAATTGAGAAATTTATCAGAGATAGAAGCTGAAGTAGGTTGCTTAGTAGAAAACTACTAGAGAATAGCTTCAAAATGCCAAAGAGAACTACCAGACAATGGCTCCAAAATGCCTAAAAAACCTACCAGAGAACAGTTTCAAAACGTTCAAAGAGAACTGCTGGAGAACAATTCCAAGATGTCGAAGAGAGCTCTTTGACGTTTTGGAGCCTCTCTCTGATAGATTTTCCAGAAAACTACTAGAGAACAGCTCCAAAACGTCGAAGAGATTTCTAAAAATGCCTAAAAAATTAAAGCAAAAAAGTTAAAACCATACAAACTTTTTGATAAATCGGTTCTCATAACCCGGCCAGATCGAAATTTACAAAACTCTAAAAAAAAATTTCAAGTATACTTATTATCCGGGTGAGTTTTTTTTAAAAAATTTTATATAAAATTTTTTGAAAAAATTGTATACTAAAGATACAAAAAATTAAGTGCTGTACGTAATAATTTTTTTCAGGCCCTGGCGATTATAATTTATTAGACTATAGATTAACATACATAATTTACAGGTTTAGATACAGGGGTCACAACAGGTTATACTAAAAATAGATTACCCATTATTATTGTTACACCAAAATTTAAATACGATTTTCTCAAAATAGAAAAAATGCCATAAGCCATGTTTTTGTTTATCGATCCCTATATGATTATCTTCAAAAAGTTCTAAAAAATATCATTATAATTAAAATATTTAATTTTAAATATATATATTATTATAATATAAGATATAATACATTAATTATTGAAAATTACCTAATCGTTTTACATAGTCATGAATATTATTAAGATTGTGTGAATAGTTATAAACAACTCCAAGAAGTTCTTGTTCTTGTAGATGAATTTTTTTTTGAATCTTGTCCATATAGTATCGAAGATGATCAGCATTATTTAAAGAAGAATGAATATTTGCAAGATATTCAGTTCCGAAATATGCTTTAATTAAATTTCCTAAATTTAAATTAATATACCTGTTAAAATTCGAGTTAGTGTAATATCAGTAGTATTATCATTAGCTTGACGAATTAATTCTTGCAAATGTGTTTATATAGTAAGTAGAACTCGATTTGGTGGCAGAGGTGGGTGTGAGTGAATACCTTTAAATAAAATAATCATATATAGATATTTTTTTAAATTATGTAGTATTAAAATATAATATTTGATATTGCAGATTTTACAAATAATTAATCCTTGTTTAATATTATTGCCTATACAATGTAGATGAGCTAAATTATAAAAAAATATGTACAATTATAAATTTTTTTTTTTTTTTTTTAATATTAAAGGTGACCACTTAGGCCATTGGCATGAGCTTTATTTCGGATAGTTAC